GTTATCGAACATATGTACCTCGATACTGGCTCACATCGGCCAGGGACCGATGAGCCTTTATCGACCTTAAAATCAGAAGTAAGAACACACGCCCCGAGAACGCACTCCTCAGATCGTGGTTTTGCTGGTGTCTTATCGGCAGCACATTGTGAAGATGAAGCCTTCTCTTTCTGAGGAATGGTTTGTGATGTTTTCGCCATTTTCGAATTCAAAAGTGAGGAATAGAAGAAAGTGACAAAGATTTGGTAGAATTGAAGAGGGGCTTTTGTAAAAAGAAATCACAGATTTACGGGTAATGCGAAAAGGGACTTGGGAAATTTGGAAGATTGAAGATGTAAAAGTGGTAAATGATAAAAGGAAGGGTTATTTATAGGTTTAAGCGATGGCGGTTCAGTATCAGCAGTGGCCGACCACCATCTGACATGCATTAAATGCCTTGAAAGACTAAACCGACGGAACAGCTATCATATGCGTCATGATCGAGCCCGATGGAAACGTCAGGTTATAATCCGATCGAGCCGTTAAAAGATCATATCGTTTCTCACCACATTCTTTCTAAGAAGCGAGGGGACTATCTGTATACGGTCGAAATAGATTTCGGCCTTCGCACGTCTGATCGAGTTCGAATGATGATCGATCGAAGTGAGACTTCGAGATAGTTTCCGAAGATGGAACAAACAAGCCTCGAACCCGAGGGGCCGATCAATGTCGAGTTCGATATTGTTATTGAGCTCAAATCCAAATCTAACTATGATGCAGAGTAAAGCTATCAAGCTTATGAGCTAGAGACCAACCAACATTGACCCCGAATCAATTCAAGGGTCCGAGTTAGAATCGAGCTTAAGCCAAAGATCGAGAGCTCGAGTTAGAATCAAGCTCAAGCCGAGATCAAAAGCCCGAGTCAGATCGGACTCACAGACATAAGCCGTTGCAATCCCACTAGATGAGAGAATCTTGGCAGGAATTGTGGAAAAGTTGATTTATCATGGATCTCCCACTGAGTATTTTTTAATTATATTTAAAGTAAGGTCCCTCTACTATAAAGAGGGGTTTTATCATTTCTGGAAGGGCAGTTTTTTTGGAGTTTAGATTGTAATTCAAGCAACATATTCTCTGATATTCGAGAGTTATTCTTTTAAGCCTCATAAACTGATTCATCTTGCTTGGTCCCAAAAATCGCTTTTGTTACAACTTTGTTTATTTAGTCTTCTTTGCGGTCCATATTTGATATTTTCCTTTTATCCTTACAATTTGTATTGAGCTATATCACATATCCTTAGAACTACGAATAAATTCAACTCTATCCGTTTTTCGGGTAAACAGTTGTAATGGTGGTGACTGATGAAGGTTCTATTTTGGTGAGATCCGTGGAACTGAGGGGAAGGTGTTCGCCGAGAAAGGGTTGAAGTGGAGGAGCAGTGAGTCTCTGGGGTGCTATTGGTGGGTTGGTGAGGTTGTTTGGTGGTTGCAGAAGTGTAATGAAGACGGACAGTGTAGGAGTTGTTTTTCCGTTGGCCACCTTGTTTGTGGTAAAAGGGTGGGGGTAAGAGGGGTGGTTAATTTTAGTGAGAGGGGGGTTACTTTTCAGGGTCAAACGGGGTCAGGTTAAAGGGGAGGGATTAATTTCAGGCCACGTGTGGGACACGTGGCAGTCTCTGGTGTTATTCAGTATACTTAGAGACAATTAAACCTCAAACAAAGGTCCTTTAGCAAATAAGGGTAAATATCGTCCAAAAGTTTAACAGCGAGGCACTAGTGAGCCAAACTAACTTCAACCGGATGATAAATCTAAACCTTTTCGCAAAGTACAAGGGTAAATTTGGACTTGTCCCTTTTTTGTGACTTAGGGCAGTCAGCTGTTATTTCTAATTAGCACGTTAGCTTAACATGAAAGGGTTTTAAATCAGGCCATGTTTCATACTCTATGGAATGTTGTTTGCACCAATGTCAATTGTTAAGGTCCTTATGAATTACGAATGATACTTTGTGACGAAGCTTATCGCCAACAACTAAATGCATATGTATGCTAGTCATAAAAGTAACTATTAGCCACCCAGCACCAGGGATTCCCTTCCCCACCTTCTCCCCCCATATCACTGTTTAGGACTGAATAATCTTACTGATTACAAGGAGTGCCCTCATAACTAACAACATTATGAAGGAAAAGATATTGAAACCCATACCGGCGGATTAGTAGTACTAGGATAGGTATGCCCAGCTCCACCTGATGCCAGCAAAGTCACTTTTGAAATGAATCTTATAACCTGCAAACTCAAAATAAGAGCGCAGAAGCCAAAGAAATCAATTTATGTCATTTTGAGGAAATGTTCAAAACATGGAGGTTAACATGAGTGAAAGCAACTGTACTTACCTCCTGTGTTTCCGTGTTTATAGTATCAACGCCATGACATACTATGTCAGAACCATCCTGCATTTGGCATACAAATTAACATTAAATCCTTACTGAACAGTTCAATTGCCACCTTTACACAACTATAGCAAAATTTTCACACTAATAAACTTACCTGAGTGGTCAACAAATCTATAGCAAAATGGTGTTGAAACACATGTATATTAGGATGCTTAAAAACTGCCTCTAATAGGGCCCTTTCTATCTCTCTGCCAGTCATATCAGCAGCATGGACAATTCGACGATGGGAGTGGCCCCCTTCCCTGGCTAGATGCAGATTTCCATCCTCCCCATGATCGAATGAAGCACCCATAGCAATCAGTTCTTTAATTCTCTCAGGTCCTTCGGTACACACAACCTGGAGAAAGGAGATACACTTATAAAAATGAAGACTTCAAAAGAGTATACTAAACACAATGTTGGAGTAATAAATCAGTCATCTTGTAAATTCATTTAGCACAGAGACTGCATAAAAAGTACAATTGCATGGACGACGATTATCTCAACTGATAAGAAGATACCAGTTGTGATGTCCCGTCACCCAAGAACGCAAAACTTCCTTGAAGCCAGTATATATTTACAGAGACAAATGAAAATAATATACAGCACTCCCAGGCTATCCAGGATTCCTAGCTTAAGTTGTATCATATAATAAGATTCTCTCCTATCCCCACAAGAGTCCTATGTACAGAGAACTCTATCCCCTCTCCCTCTTGTATGTTGTTAATGGGCCTAGTAGATGCGAAATCCGCTGGGCCTTACTACTCTCAGCAGAATTGGGCATGTCACAACTCTGCATGAGTTGTTAGCATTAAGAAAATTTGTTAGAATGTGAATATATATAATCAGTCCTAGTCCCGTATGTAATATGAGTAGGTTATGTATTATGTATACTTATAAGTAGTTAATAAATCAATAATATATTTTTCTCCCGTGCTTTCTCACATGCTATTAGAGAAATCGTGAGAGATTTATCGTTGTGCATAAATTCCAGCGGCCGGGAAGAGAAATCAGTCAACCGGAAGTCTTTCCAGCAAACACAGGTCTACCGCAAGAACTAACCACTTTTCATCAGTGTTGTGCAAAAACCAACACCACCACGAAGTAGATCAGCCTTTGACGACCAACCCGTAAAAATATCTCCGACAGACCACCCTCCACGCGCCCTCACACGCCGACAGAAAAAAAAATTACCGGCTAAGTTCAGATGTCACGCGACGCGCGTGGGGCTATTTTCGGCCCTTTTTTGGCGACGACTCTTCAGGACAACTTGTTTACCTTGCAATTCCGAGCCTACCCATCCAATTTAAACCAAATTCCTACCACTTTCATATTTTTCTGGCGTGAACAGTAGTTTCCAGAATATTTTCTGATTTTTCCAGCGTGAACATTATAATGTCATTTGTATCCGTCGGATCCAATGCATTGAATCCAATCCAGATGGTTTCTTTATCGGAATATATAGAGTTCCTTCTGTACAAAGCATGTAAAAGACATCTTATGAGATTGCTAATGTTGTTCAAACAGGTACTAGCGTTACTTGTGTCTCACAATCTTCTTCTCCCAGTAATTGGGTTATTGATTTAGGAGCGTCTCATCATATGGTAATAAATCTGCTTTCACTACTATTTCTTATCATCAATCTCTTCCAATGGTCACAATGGCCAATGGGTCTCAAACTGCGGCAACTGGAATAGGTCAAGCAAGTCCACTTCCTTCTTTACCTTTGAATTCAGTTCTTTATGTTCCTGGTAGTCCTTTTAATCTCATAGTTGTTAGTCGCTTAGCCAAATCACTTAAATGTTCTGTTTTATTTCTTGATGACCTTGTTTTTATGCAGGAATGCAGTACGGGGCGGATTATTGGTACCGGACATGAATCACATGGACTTTATTACCTTATCCTTGCTAAATCACATGAACCCATATCAACAACTTGTTTTATTACTGATTCACCAGATTTATTACATAAACAGTTGGGACATCACAGTTTATCAAAACTTCAGAAAATGGTACCTGATTTGTCTCACTTGTACACTCTAGTGTGTGAGCCATGTCAGCTCGGTAAGCATACTCACTCTCGTTTCCCTTGACGCTCTGATAATCGAGCAGAGTCACCTTTCACTTTAGTCCATTCAGATGTTAGGGATCCTAGTCAGGTCAGTTCTACCTTGGGATTCCGCTACTTTGATAGTTTCATTGATGATTATTCCAGGTGCACTTGGATATTCTTGATGAAAAATCGATCTGAGTTGTTTTCCGTGCTGAAATTCAAAATCAATTCGGGATTTCTATCCGCACATTTCATAGTGAAAATGCCCCAGATTATTTGTCTCCTATATTTCAGCAGTTTATGAAATCTCATAAGATCATTCATCAAACATCTTGTCCATATACATCTCAACAAAATGGGGTAGCGGAAAAGAAAAATAGCCATCTCATTGAGACTGCCCGTACCCTACTCATACAATATCATGTTCCGTTGCGATTTTTGGGGGATGCAGTTCTCACATCTTGTTATCTTATTAATTGTATGACATACTCAGCTATCCAGAATCAAGTTCCATTCTCTTTGTTGTTTCCTCACTCACCCTTCTTCTCTCTTCCACCTCGTGTCTTTGGGAGCACATGTTTTGTTCATAACCTTACTCCAAGAAAAGATAAGTTAGCTCCCCGTGCTCTTAAGTGTGTATTTTTAGGTAAGGGGTATCGATGCTACTCGCCTGACCTCCAGCAGTGCCTTATGTCTGCTGATGTTACCTTCTTTGAAACTCAGTCATACTTCACATGCCTAGGTGGTCACTTAGACATTTTTGAGGTATTACCAGTTCCATCTTTTTGGAGATTCATTCACTATTTCCCCTTCACCTTCCTCCACGTCTCCATCACCTACAGCCCCATTCTAGCTCTAGCCCCACCAACTATAGCTCCTCCTACATTCTCAATCACAAAAGTCTTACCCACACAAACCGTTAAGGAATCTAGTGTTGCTCCTCCTAGAACCCCAGCCACAGGAACACCACTCTTGACTTATCGTCGTCGTCCGCGCCCAGCATCAAGCCCAGCTGATTCACGTCCTGCACCTTACCCTGCTCCTACTGCGGACTTGCTCCTCCTAGTCAGCCGATTGCACTTCGGAAAGGTATATGAACCACACTTAATCCTAATCCCCATTATGTCGGTTTAAGTTATCATCGCCCGTCATCACCCTCATTATGCTTTTGTATCTTTTTTGTCCTTTGTTTTCATCCCTAAGTCTACAAGTGAAGCACTATCTCATCTAGGATGGCGACGGGCTATGGTTGACGAGATGTTTGCTTTACATACGAGTAGTACTTGGGAGCTTGTTCCTCTTCATTCAGGAAAATCTACTGTTGGTTGTCGTTGGGTGTATGCAGTCAAAGTTGGTCCGGATAGCCAGGCTGAAAAACTTAAGGCCCGTCTAGTTGCCAAAGGATATACTCAATTATTCAGGCTTGATTACAGTGATACTTTCTCTCCCGTGGCTAAAATAGCATTAGTCCGCCTTTTCTTATCCATGGATGTTGTTCGTCATTGGCCTCTCTATCAATTGGACATTAAGAATGTTTTTCTTCATGGTGACCTTGAGGATGAAGTTTATATGGAGCAACCATCTAGTTTGTTACTCAGGGGGAGTCTAGTGGCTTTGTATGTCGCTTGCGCCGGTCAGTTTATGGTCTAAAGCAATCTCATCGAGCCTAGTTTGGTAAGTTCAGCGCAGTTATCCAGGAGTTTGGCATGGCTCGTAGTGAAGCTGATCACTCCGTGTTTTATCAGCATTCTGCTTCAAATCTCTGTATTTATCTGGTCCATTATGTTGACGATCTTGTTATTACCGGCAATGATCAGGATGGTATTACTAAGTTGAAGCAACATCTCTTTGAGCACTTTCAGGGTAAGGATCTGGGCAGATTAAAGTATTTTTTGGGTATTGAGGTCGCTCAGTCTAGCTCAGATATTGTGATCTCACAACGGAAGTATGCCTTAGACATTCTTGAGAAGACAGGAATGACAGGTTGTAGACCTATTGACACACCGATGGATCCGAATTCTAAACTTCTGCGAGGACGAGGGAGCCGTTCAGCGATCCCGCAAGATATAGACGGTTGGTCGGTAATTTAAATTACCTCACAGTGATTAGACCTCATATTTCCTTTCCTATGAGTGTTGTGAGTCAGTTTATGGATTCTCCGTGTGATAGTCATTGGGATGCAGTTGTCCGCATTTTTCGGTATATAAAATCAGCCCGAGACAAAGGATTATTGTTTGAGGATCGAGGCCATGAGCAGATCGTTAGATACTCAGATGTTGATTGGGCAAAATCACCTTCTGATAGACGTTCTATATCTGGATATTGTGTCTTAGTAGGAGGTAATTTGGTGTCTTGGAAGAGCAAGAAACAGAATGTGGTTGCTCGGTCTAGTGCAGAAGCAGAATATCGAGCAATGGCTATGGCAATATGTGAGCTAATTTGGATCAAACAGTTGCTCAAGGAGTTAAAATTTGGTGAGATAAGCCAGATGAAACTTGTGTGTGATAATCAAGCTGCTATTCATCTTGCATCAAATCCAGTGTTCCATGAGAGAACTAAACACATTGAGATTGACTGTCACTTTGTCAGAAAAAAAATACTCGCATGAGATATTGCTATAAAGTTTTTGAAGTCGAATGATCAACTTGCTGACATTTTCACCAAGTTTCTCACTGGTCCTCGTATTAGTTACATATGTAACAAGTTCGGTACATATAATTTATATGCACCAGCTTGAGGAGGAGTGTTAGATAGTTATGTGTGTATATATATATAATTAGTCCTAGTCCCGTATGTAATAGGAGTAGGTTATGTATTATGACAAGAGTGGGTTGCTCTAGTGGTTAGCACCCACCACTTCCAACCAAAAGGTTGTGAGTTCGAGTCACCCCAAGAGCAAGGTGGAGAGTTCTTGGAAGGAGAGAGCCGAGGGTCTTATCGGAAACAGCCTCTCTACCCCAGGGTAGGTGTAAGGTCTACGTACACACTACCCTCCCCAGACCCCACTAGTGGGACTATACTGGGTGGTTGTTGTTGTTGTATGTATTATGTATACTTATAAATAGGGCTCATTGTAACATAGTTAATAAATCAATAATATATTTTTCTCTTGTGCTTTTTCACATAATCAAATGGATTCCTAGGTTAAAGCTCGAGGGAGAAGGGATAGAGTTTTCTGCACATAGGACCCTTGTGGGGATAGGAGAGAATCTTATATGACTAGGAATCCTGGATCGCCTTGGAGTGTCTATCCTTATCAGCAGTTACCCTCAAAAAATTGGTGCTGATTTAGGGAAGTCAGAAGTGTTAAAGGTACTTTTGTGTGTTCTCCTTAAAAGAAGAAAACATGGTACTGTCTAAATGAAATCCCAAAATCAAACCAAGATACAACACATGTGAATTTCCTGTCTTATTCTTATCTCTTCTTTCCTGCATGTCACCTTCACTCTCTTTCCCTAATGTTCAAAGACAAAAGTCAACAATCTGAACCATAAAGAATAGGAGTACTACATAAACCAGTGGAAATCGTCCATATTACCAACCATTGGTTTCCCAACTCTCCAACTCTTTCTTCAGTTCCAACTTTTAAGCACTTATATCAGAAGCAAGGAATAGACATAGAGCCTTTCTTGTAGTATTGTTGCTTGGCACTTCAGCTTCAAATTGAAAACAAGCCTAACTGCCCCATTGCTCTTACTCTTTTCCAATTTTTGGCAGCTCTAGATCCTGTGGCAAAAGCCGTCTAAACAGAAAGGTCCTTTGGTTTCAAACTGAAAGATGGAGAACTTTCCTATTCATCCAACCAAGTATTCCGGGAAAAATTTGGAAAAGTAAAAGGAAACACTCTCCAATGAGAAAAAACTGAAAAAGGGCAAACTGCTTCATGGAACTGAAGAGACAATAACATTCTGTGAACTTACTCTAACAGTCTCCTCATCACAGAGGTAAGCACCTGCAACAATTGTATCTTGCATGTGGCTCTCCACTGAATCCATAGGGCAGAGCACAGCACTTACACCACCTTGAGCATAGTTAGTGTTACTCTCATGTGGCTCAGCTTTGGTTATCACAGCTACAGTTCCATGTTTGGCAACTTCAAGAGCATATCGAAGGCCAGCAATTCCACTACCAATCACCGCGAAATCGAAATACCTAGTTGAGCCATCTCTCTGGCAAGAATTGATTGTTCCGCTGTGAGACTTCCAGTTTGTTTTCACTTGACATTGTGAATAGTTACTTCTATGAACTCGCAAGAATTTGGAAACCCAATAAGACCTGGAAAATTTAAGTAGCATATCACCACCAGAAAATGAAAATGATAACCTTTCTTTTTTTTCTAAAGAATCAGGAAATGACTAAAAAAGAAAAACTTTTAGGATTCTGGTATCTCATGAAAAAAAGATATTACTGGTTTATGCCTAAACACGTATACAAAGATTCTTTCCAGTACGTTCTCATTGGAGGAATAAACAGTCCAACAGCCAACGCGTGAATGCCTATCTCCGTACAATTTGAAATGTAATAACATCTTAAAAGCTCCAGAATAAAATATTTTGGCAATCATTCCCCCAGAAGAGAGGAGATGGGGCAATAGAAAGAAGATAATACAGCAGGGAAAGATAGAGAGAGAAGGAGAGATAGGTGAAGAAACATCATCCTAATACGTACCAAGGGATCTGGTTTTGCATGCCATTCAGGATCACATTGGAATGACACTGAGCTTTTCCATAGCTACTCCTCCAGTAGACAGGCTTCCTCAAATGTAACTGTCCGCTTACTGAAGCGATACCAGTTGCCATATGATCTTCCTGACTGACAATCCAGGTCAAAGGAATTCATATCAGATTAGCACTCCCAATTCCGAGGTTAGAATGTTTGTGAAACTAAACATTTAAAGATCATCTTGATTACTTCTAAAAACACCCAAACAAGGCAAAGAATTGAGCTTAATAACAAAATATCGGCTCTTGACATTTAGATAACTTGAACCAAACACTTTAGAAGGGAAAGACCCTTCTAACAAAATCTTGTAACATCTCCCAGAAAACTATTCTTCAGTAATACGTTTTGCACAGCTGGGACTCGAAAGCAAAATTAAAGACTCTGGATATTTAAGGGAAACCTTGTTATGAATTGCATTAAAGCATGAACGAATATAGTAGAAGCTACAAAAAGAAAAGATTTGGTTTCAGGACAATCTTAGGAACAACTTCCTAAAAGCTAAAATTGAAAGCCCAACCAAAACTGTGCTTGGTCTTGAAGTCAGAACTCTTCACAACTCTTCTTTCATTCATTTGGAGCAGTAGATTTATTAAAGAAAAAGGAACTTTTAGAAAATATCAGAAATTGAAGGGGTAGAAAAGCATGTGGAGACATTTAAACAAAAGGAGAAATGCTTGAAAGGACAATGAGAAAACATATCATCTAACATATGGTCAATTCAATGAAAATATTTAGAGATTCAACAATTGATGGGCTTAAACTGGAATTCCACAAATTGGACTCACACGACAAGATGGCTAGTCCATGTTAATGCTGCAGCAGAACATGCGTGTAAAAAACTGTTCATTACACAACTTCCATACCAGATACTGAAAAACCAAAAGGAAATGAAACATAAAAAGAAGAAACGTATACTTTTTTTTCATTCAAGTGAACCACAAATGTATGTGCATCATGTCTCTAATCCTGTGATATCTCATATTGCAAGAGAAAAAGTAGAGAAAAGAAAGGTATGAACTTATCAACTAATTGCTATAATCCACTTGTACAGAATGAATTTACAAATGGAAGTTGCCACAAGACTTCATCACTTATTGCTGAAACAAAAAGAGAAATCATTGCTTTCCCTTCCTGATGTTACATGACGTAAGTATTGAGTCAAGGCCATTTTAAATGAATGCCAATGTATCTACAAAATGCATTTCCTTTAAAATCATGAGACTGAAACACGTTAAGAAGAAGTCCTTTTCAGTTTTTCTAACTATGTCCTTACTGTTGCTTCAATGAAGACCCTCAATAGACACCTGAACATAGATACATTGGCATTCATTTAAAATGGCCTTGACTCAATACTTATGTCATGTAACATCAGGAAGCGAAAGCAATGATTTCTCTTTTTGTTTCAGCAACAGTTTTTCTAACTATGTCCTTACTGTTGCTTCAATGAAGACCTTCAATAGACACCTGAACAGCTAGTACTATCATTCTGAAGGCTCCAAAAAACAGAAACACATACAGGGCCAAAAGTCAGCTTTCCGGACACGTTTCTATTAGGAGAAAGGAAATTGTAAGTGACAAGTGACGACTAAAAAGAGTTGTTTTAGCAAAAAGCAGAACCTACAAGGCTGAACAAGTATTGCAAGGAAACAATAAGACCCAATGAAGATCATTTACTCTAAGACTAAGGACTTGCCAACCTATCTAAATTTTCATTTTCCCTTATTAAATCTTTCTTTGTCAATGGTGTTCAATGGAGGTCGAGTATTAGGGTTGTAGGTTAGGAGGTAGTTGAGTCTTGCCTTACTTTGTACCATTGTGGGACTAGCCAGGTAGGATTTTTGTCTAAGATAGCTAGTGGCAATGTTGTGTCTTACTATTTCGCTTTTCAGTGCAGGACCTATTTACTAGGTATCGCTTTTGCTTTGCATCTTTCTTCTGGATTTCATGGTGTTCTTATTTTTCCTATGATTGCTGTGGTGATACTAATATTGTCTCCTTTTGTCCTTTTGTCTTTTTGTTTTCTTGAGCCGAGGGTCTTTCGGAAACAGCCTCTCTACTCCTTCGGGATAGGAATAAGGTCTGCGTACACACCACCCTCCCCAGACCCCATTAGTAGGATTTTACTGGGTTGTTGTTGGTGGTAGTGGTGTTCAAGGAAATGAACAGCTCTTACGCGCTAAAGCTGTTTGAATAGAAATGAAATAAGTTGTAAAGGAGAAGTGCAATGATATATACATGGACTCTTGTTTTGTATAACATGTATCACAGGTAAATAGATCTCTGAAAATACATAAACAACTTGCAAAATTGATCACAATCCCTCCTACTTATGGGTGTATTTGGTATGAAAAAACATTTTTTTGATAATCTTTTCCAATTTTCCCATGTTTGGTTGCCCTAAATTGTGGGGGAAACATTTTCCTAAAGAAAACATTTTCCTTTAATTTTGTTGAAACTAACTTACCTAAGAACCCAAGGTTAGTCAATTTCCAATATCCAGAACATATCAAACGTTTTGGCACTAGACAATCAGTTCTTGCCCCCTCCCACTTCCCTCTGCCATTTTCTCTTTTTCTCTATACTCTCTCCAAAGTGACCTAAACGCTATGCATGTTGACACAACAGTACCTATATGTTCTTACCTGTTAGGCATATCTTTTAATAGAGTATGGAATTTGAATCTAGCCAAAGCATTTGAAATTTCATGTACCATTCTCTCTTTTCCTTTTCCTTTCTTTATGTAAATCTGTGATACTTTTAAATTACTGTCATTATTCATTTTCTTGAATTATTTAAAAAAGATTGACATTTTCATATATTTAGAAACTTTCTAATTTTAATATATTATTTTGCTTTTTCTTAGTGACTTGTTCTTACACGAATGACATGTCATGTTGAATACTTTATTCTGCAGTTAATCTTTCAAGAACTTTAAGGGGCTTAAATGAAATTAAAAAGAAAATTATTTTGTAACAACATTAGGAAACAATTTGCCTCTCTGCCTTTATAGGTAGGGGTAACGCTACGTACACACTACCCTCCCCAGACCCCACGTATGGGATTAAACTGGGTTTGTTGTTGTTGTTATTAGGAAACAATTTCTTTTCTCCTTACAACCAAAAAGTGGAAAGTATATTCCAGAAAATAATTTTCACTCACCCAACCAAACATTGATAAATATTCTCCTGAAAATATTTTTCCCTCACCAGCCAAATACTGGAAAATAAGTGAAAACATTTTCCTTTATACCGAACACACTCTATATCTCTTCTCTCCATTCCTGCAGTGAGACTGGAAACTTTGTTACTCTCATTTGGGCTAGGATTGTGTCAGCTTGTGTTGCTTTACCAGGGAAAGAAAACAGCAGAAAAAGGGAACAGAGAGCAGAATTGAGCTAGCATAGCATGTTCGCTACAACAGGATCCACCGGCTATCAGTTTATCATACAATTGCATGTTCGTATATTTATAAAGCTTCGCAAGATTCTAGCAACCCCAACCTAACAGAACCCTAGACTAAATTACAACCCCATCCCCCACCCAAACAATACAACTATAGTTATTATTCCAAAACAAAACAAAAAAATAGATCAACAAAACAAAGTTTTTATCAATACAGTTACCTTAACGGGGCAAAAATGGCGCTCCGGAGTAGAATTGAACTCGAATTCGAAGTTATAAATTAACTGATTGTTGGCCAAGGAAGCAGAATTCGAGCTAATTAGAGAACTGAAGAGAGAGAGGGGGCCGGAATATATAACGAAAAGCTGCAGTCGTCACCTAGAAATCCACCGTGTATCTTTTGCCACCTTTTAAAATTATGGACATTTTTTTTGCTAATCAATGGGCTAACTTAATCGCATGCAGTTTGCACTTTCCGTGGTGTAAGATTTGTGGCGTTAAAGAAAAAGGAAGTTAGGATCCCAATCGCTTTTCCTCCACAAGGCAAAGAATTTGAGCCTTAGCTTTTAGGAAATGGAATCCAATGCGTTCTTTCACAAATATGAAAAACAAAAATAATAATAAACGAATTCATTTATTTTTTTAATTTTCTTGGTCGAAATAAACAAGTCTTTCTTTTTGACTTTCCTCTCAGCCGCGGGAAACC